GAGACTCTGTCTCTTAAAAAATAAAAATTAAATAAAAGGCCAGGCAATGGCTCATGCCTGTAATTCTAGCACCCTGGGAGGCCAAGGTGGGTGGATTGCCTGAGCTCACAAGTTCGAGACCAGCCTGAACCAGAGCAAGACCTCATCTCTAAAAATAGCCTGGCATTGTGGCAGGCACCTGTAGTCCCAGCTACTTGTGAGGCTGAGGCAAGAGAATCACTTAAGTCCAAGAGTTTGAGGTTGCTGTGAGTTGTGACAGCACAGCACTCTACCCAGGGCCACAGCTTGAGACTCTGTCTAAAGTAAATAAATATATATATGTATATATATACGTACATATAATATTCATTATTAAAGAAATAAAATAAAGCAGTGACAATAATGTCTACCAGATGGTTGTCTTGGGGATAAGTCAGCTTTGAGCAAGTTGCCTGGCACCTAGTAAATAAATGCTCAGTAGACGGTGGAATATTGTTAATGTTGGCTGTTTGCTCCCCCATCTCTGTTGCCTCCCGTCCTGTTCCCCGTTTTTTCTATTTTCCACCCCTTTCGCCCCCGCCCTCCTGCCTTTCCCTCCTCATCGCTTTGCACTGCCACCTTCCCAACCACACCCCGGCGCCTTGGCCGCCCCTCCGCACCGCGGGTGCAGCTGGAGTTCGTGGACTATGTGTTCCACGGGGAACGCGGCCGCCGGGAGACGGCCAACCTGGAGCTGCTGCTGCAGCGCTGCAGCGAGGTCACACACTGGGTGGCCACCGAGGTGCTGCTCTGCGAGGCCCTGGGCAAGCGCGCGCAGCTGCTCAAGAAGTTCATCAAGATCGCGGCCATGTGAGTGCGGCGGACGGCGGGAGGGGGCGCAGAGGCCTGCGGCTGGGGACCCGACAGCCCCCCTAACAGCGCCTCCCACCCCACAGCTGCAAGCAGAACCAGGACCTGCTGTCCTTCTATGCTGTGGTCATGGGGCTGGACAATGCCGCCGTCAGCCGCCTGCGGCTCACCTGGGAGGTGATGAGACCTTTCCTTTTCCCACCTGGGGATCTTGGCAGCCCAGGCTTACCTCATGCGCCTCCTGGCGTGGCAGCTAGCGTGTATCGGGAGTCCTTGTGCCAGCTGGAAGGAGGCGCCCTCTTCTGGCACATGGAGCCCCAGGGTGCAGAGCTTGGCTAAACTAATGGACCCTGTCTTTGTGCAAATTGGTGAAAAGCCAGGATCCCCGCCTGAGTCGGGGCAGGTAGCCCTCTGCCCAGTTGCCAACTTGGCTGTGGGATCTGGGCCACTCAGTGGGGCCACCTTTGTGCATGGCGCAGGCATAGCAGAGGTCTGGCTTGTCCCAGAATTATTAATTCCTCTGGACTGTCTCTAGCTCCTTGACCTTACTTCCCCACCCACCAGCTTTCCAGGGCCTCCTCCCACCCCCAGCAAGACAGGCAGGCCCTTTCTCCCTCTAGCTCCTGGGATTAGTCAGGAGCTCCCATGTAACCCAAGGAGCTCTACTCTGATAGCCCTTCTCCTTCCTCAAACTCTGCAGAAGCTGCCAGGGAAATTCAAGAACTTGTTCCGCAAATTTGAGAACCTGACAGTGAGTGGGTTTGGCTCTTTGATCTGCCTTTGGATTTATACCCCAGAAACCCTCTGTTCCCAGAAACCCTCTTCCTCAAGCTTCCCTTTCAAGGGTTTTAAGGCCTGGGACTCCTCCCTGCTATCCCATGCTGGGGGGGTGGGAGGAATGGTGGAAGGATTGCTACACTGTTTTCCTTGGAGGAGAGGGGGGAGCAGTCAAGCCCCCCCCCACTCCAGCTAGACACACACACCCCTATTTGGTGGGGATGTATGCAGGGAAGGGGAATGGGGAGAGACGGCTTCTGAGTACAGTGGGCTCATCTAGCCTTTGATCCCTCTTCTGCAAATGCTAGGACCCCTGCAGGAACCATAAAAGCTACCGAGAAGTGATCTCTAAAATGAAGCCTCCTGTGATTCCCTTCGTGCCTCTGATCCTCAAAGGTGAGAGAATTACTCCCAACTTGTGGCTCTTCTATTCACATTCTCTTCTCATGCTCTAGTGCTGACTCTCAGTCCATTCTTCCTCCAGCCTGAGTGGGTTCTGTGGGAGGGGAAGGTCTTCAGGTGCCCTGCCCCTTAGCACCTCTTCTCTGAGCCTTTCTTTTTTTTTTCTTTTTTGAGTCCGAGCCTCAAGCTATCCCCCTGGGTAGAGTGCTGTGGCAATCTCGCTCACAGCAACCTCCAACTCCTGGGCTCAAGCGAGTCTCTTGCCTCAACCTCCCAAGTAGCTGGGACCACAGGTGCCCGCCACAATGCCTGGCCATTTTTTGGTTGCAGCCATCATTGTTGTTTGGCGGGCCCGGGCTGGGGATTCGAACCCGCCACCTTAGGTGTATGTGGCTGGCGCCTTAGCCGCTTGAGCCACAGGCGCCGAGCCGAGCCTTTCTTTACATTAGATTCCTTCTTCATCCCCTAGACCTGACATTCCTGCATGAGGGGAGTAAGACCCTTGTAGATGGTTTGGTGAACATCGAGAAACTGGTGAGTGGCACTGCCAATCCCCAGTCCCATGAGTGGGGGGCCTGCATCCTCCCCCTCTCTCCTGTCACCTCCCTAAAAATAGCAGCCTTCCTCCATGGTGCCCAGCTTGCCTAACAGACTCTTGACTGTCTCCCTGGTGGCATCACTGTGGCAACCCACCCACAGGTGGCAAAGCTGTCAGGCAGCTTGGGGGCAACTCAACCTCCCCCTCATCGGGCACCCCACAACACCCCTTCGTTTGGTCCTTCGGAGAGGGACTAGAGGGAATAAAACCAATAGATTTGCAGAATGGAGGAAGGGAAGTGGGAGAAGGGGAGCATTTTTCTGTGCCGTTTTCAGGGCTTATTCCTTGTCATCTCCCAGCATTCAGTGGCTGAAAAAGTGAGGACAATCCGCAAATACCGGAGCCGGCCACTTTGTGAGTACCCAGAGTTCTGAGAGCATTACAGGTAGAGCTTTGACTGAGTGGGAGGGTTCAGGGGGGAAATCCTTGCTCAATATGGATTGCTGCACACTTGTCAGTTCTCCATTTTCTCCTGGGCTCTCCCAGAGACCCTCCTACCTAATACCTGTCCTAGTCCACAGCCTTATCCTCTGCCTGGTGTGTGTGTAGAGGCAGAAGGGAAGCTGAGAACCTGACTGCCTCTCTCTTCTTCTTCCCCAGGCCTGGACATGGAGGCATCCCCTCATCACCTGCAGACCAAGGCCTATGTGCGCCAGTTCCAGGTCATCGACAACCAGAACCTCCTCTTCGAGCTTTCCTACAAGCTGGAGGCAAATAGTCAGTGAAAAGGGAGGTTCTGGTCAGACCCCCACCAGGGTCTTTGGGCACCTGGCACTCAAGCACTTTGTATGACTGCCTGACCTGCTGCCATCATCTTTCCCCTGGAGCAACTTCCCACCCCACGGAGAAGAGCTGGATGGACTTACCGCTGGACTCACAAGCCTCATCCTGCTGAAGTCCTCTCCCTATCACTTCTTCAAGCTGAAACCACACTCTGTTGGTTCCTGCCCTCTCTGGGAAAGAGGGCAGAGAGTCCTTCCTCTGTCTCCTCCCATCCAGGTCTGTTTCCAAGATGGAGTTTCCAACTTCTTCCCAAGCAGGAAAGAACTAGCTGCTCACCCTCCCATCTTACAAAGTAGAATTCTGGGAGGGATTGGCAGTCTTCTCCACCTGCCCAGCTTCTCCCTGGTCAGGGCTGGGGCCCCTGGATATACTGCCCTGGATATTATAGTGCTCTGTGTGTGTGTGTGTTTGTGCCCTTGTAAGGGAGCAGGAGTGCATCTGGTAATTGAGGAGGGTTGTTGTGTGTGCCGGGGGACAGTGGAGGGTCCTTCTGTTTGGTGCTACTCTGCCCCTGGGACATGCAGGGTGCCTTTCCCACCCCCACCACTCCCTGCTCAGCTCCTCATGCTGCCCTGCGTGCCCAGGCTTGTGGGCCAAGCTGCTTTAAGGGCAGGGAGCAGCAAATGGGAGGGGTGACCCAAAGCCCTTGCAAGTCCTCCACTCAGGCTTCCTGAAGATCCCTGGGTGAACTCTGATGAAAGGGTGAAAGATGCTCAGGGAAACACAGGCCTAAGCTGCCTATTGGACCCTCCCTCTGTCTTGTAGTGAAGTGGGGTGCAGCAGTATTAAGAGTTTGGGTGCTCCCACTCCTGCTTTTGGGGGCATCTCACTGCTAAGGAGAGAGTTGGCATCCCCCTTCTGGCTCTTGTGTCTGACAGCAACAACACAGTCTTTGTCCCTCTCCCTTTCTCAACTCCCCTTTTGTCCTTCCCATGGAGCTGGAGTGAGGTGTGTCTCTGTACCTGGGGCAGGCATCCCCCCAAAGTGGGGATGGGAGGGACAGTGGGGACAGCAGAAACCATAAAGGCCAAACTGGACTCTGGCAAGGACTTTAATACCTCTGCTCCCTCCTGTTCCTGCCACAGGCCTCCAGGGCTGAGGGGTACAGGGGCTCCTGGCAGCTACTGGGTGAGGTTTCCTGGCATAGCCTCACCCTCCCTTCTGGCACCACCTCTTTCCCTTTTGAAGAGGCAGCAGCAGCAGTAGTAGCAAAAGTGGCAACTGCTCCTGCTCTGAGGGTGTATATATTTTTTACCCCAAATTCTGGAATTGTAAATTTATTTTTTAAAACTCAGAGGGAAAGAACCTTGTATCATATGTAAACAATGTATTATAGGTAATGTTGTACAGTCCCTTTTATACACAGTCTGGGTCAGTCTGCTCTCTGCTACAAAAACTGTCTATGGACATACACAGGCGCTGTGTCCCACACCCTCCCACCCTCTCAGTGGCTGTGACTACCCTCCTGCTCCCTTGCCTCCTCCCTGCTACTGCTGATGTGCCCTCAGCCCTCAGCAGGCCTCTCACCCCAGGTCCCCTGACCCTCCTTGAATACTGAGACTCACAGGCCCAGTCTTGGTCACTGTTGGCTCCTGGCCCTGATGCCTGCCCCGGGCCCCCCCAGCTCCTTCCCATGCCCCAGAGCTTTAACAGAGTGAACCGGTGTGTGTGTTGTGCAGGCTCATTTGTCATTGCAGAAACCACTGGGTGGAGAAAAAGCTGATAAAATCTATGAATCAACCTGCCTGCTGTTCTCCATTCTGTTCCTTTGGGATTAGGGGGCATGGGGATGGCCTCCAGTGCTCCCAGACCTCATCAGGGCTTTTCTGGATGTCTTTGAAAATGTGAGTGAGGGGGCTTGGCGCCTGTGGCTCAAGTGGCTAAGGTGCCAGCCACATACACCTATGGTGGCGGGTTCGAATCCCCAGCCTGGGCCCGCCAAACAACAATGATGGCTGCAACCAAAAAAAAAAAAGAAAGAAAGAAAATGTGAGTGAGGCAGACTACAGTGGCTCATGCTTATAATCCTAGCACTCTGGGAGGCCAAGGTGGAT